GGGCAGTCTCTGTGGAGTGAGCTGCTTTGAAGCCAGACTGATTAGGATCCTGGAGGTTGTTCTGAGAGAGGTAAAGAGAGAGTTGGTTGTAGACTGTGCGTTCGAGGATTTTTGAAAGGAAGGAAAGAAGCGATACTGGTCGGTAGTTGCAAGTGTCCGAGGGATTTAGAGTGGATTTTTTCAAGATGGGAATGACCCTGGCTATTTTGAATGCTGTTGGTACATGACCAGAAGTTATGGAGCCATTAATGATAGTGGCGATGAAGGGGAGAAGGTCCAGAGAGATTGTCTGGAACAATGTGGAAGGGATTGGATCCAGTGGGCAGGTGGTAGGGTTGGAAGATGAGATGACTTTCATGATCTCATCAACTGTAAGACTGGAAAACTGGGTCAGTGAGGGGGAAGGGAAATCCTGGGTGTGTAGTTTAGTGGATGGGGAGGGAGAGAATGTCTGGCAGATTTCACCAATCCTTTCATCAAAGAAGTTGGCAAAGTCTTCAGCAGTCAGGGAGGATGGAGCAGGAGGAGTTGGAGGGTTGAGTAGTGATGAAAAGATATTATGGAGTTTACGGGGATCATGTGAGGATAGCTCTAGTTTTTCCTTATAAAAGGCAGTTTTAGCTGCAGTCACATCCGAAGAGAATTTGGATAGCAGAGTATGGTAGGAAGACAGATCTGCATCAAGTTTAGATTTCTTCCATGTCCTCTCTGCTACCTGCAATTCTCTTCGGTTGCTGCATAATGCAGCTGAAAGCCAAGGAGCAAGGCGAGTTTTCCTGGGGTTAAAAGACAGTGGGCAGAGGTGATCCATGAATGAGGAAAGTGAGGAGAGGAGAGTATCAGTTGCAGGCTCCAGTGCAAGGGAGGAAAAGGAGTTAAGGTCAGGAAGGTAGGGCAGGGTGCAGGAAGCAACAGTTGAAGGGGAGACAGAGTGGAGGTTTGGTCTAGTGGGCGAGAAATGTTGAAAGCCAGGATTGGGTAAGACAGGTAGGGTGATGGTAAAGGATACTAAGTGGTGATCAGAAATGTGAAGAGGGGTAGTGGTGATGTCGGTGGCTGGAGAGGGGCGGCTGAAAACCAGGTCGAGAGCATTACCTCCTTTGTGTGTTGGAGAGCAGTTGTTGGATGTCAGACAAAAGGAATAGAGAAAAGGGAGGAGACCAGAAGAAAGGAGCTTGTCATGGGGGAGATTGAAGTCACCAAGGAGAAAGAGAGAGGAGCTGTCAGTGGGGAAGAGACTGAGGAGAGTATCCAGCTCCTCTAGAAAGTGGCCTAG